CTTCTTATTAAATGATAATGTATTATTCTAAAGTGATAATTTTTAATAGTTTTATAAGAATGATAATATGTCATTCCTTTAGGATGAATTTTTTTAATTATTCTTATTGAATAATTAATCTATCATTATTTTAGATAATTTTTTTAATCATTAAATAAGAATAATAATATATTATTTCTTTAGGATGATTTTTTAATCATTCTTATTAAATAATTAATTTTTATTTCTTTGAGATAACTTTTTTGATTATTTTTATTGAACATTATTCTATTATTCTAAAGGGATGATTTATACCATCTGATTAAAATAATATTGAAACATTCAATTTGAATGATTATTTTTATCATTCTAAATAAAATGATTATATAGTGAACTTTTGATATAATGAATCCTAGAGTTTAGATTTTAGCTGATTCACTATAGTAAGATTAAGATTCCTTAAAATTGAATTAAATCAAATTGAATCAAATATTTGTCAAATAAAATAAAATCAAATATTTGATTGAATCAAATTGAATATAAAAAAATTTTTTAATTTTTATAATGATATATATATTAAAATAAAATTATTCTAAAGTTTTAATTAAGAAAATTATTAATAATTGCACTAAAAATTTCAAAAATAGCTTTAATAAAGTAAGTTTAATAATAGATGAATTTTTACTATTAAACTTAGTAAAATAACTCTGCAGTCCCAGTTTTACTAAGAAACTTAATAATAATCACTATTGCAGCTTCAGTTTACTAAAAAAACTTAATAATAACCGCTATTACAACTTCAGTTTTACTAAGAAAATTTAATAATAACTATTATCATTACTTCAGTTTTATTAAGAAAATTTAGTAATAACCGCTATCTTAACTTCATAACCATTTTATTAGTAAAAACATTTCAAAGTTGTGAATACATTTTTACTATTCAAATTTATGAAGGCATTTTTTACTATATTTCCTTAGTAAAATGTCTTTAAAGTTACGAAGGCAATTTTTATTATATTTGTCTTAATAAAATAATATCTCTAAAACTGTATAGGCATTTTTTATTATATTTCTTAGTAAAATAATGTTTCTGAAACTACAGAGGTATTTTTATTATTTTTTCTAATAAAATAATATTTTTGAAGCTATAAAATTATTTTTTACTATATTTTTCTTAGTAAATTAAGGCATTTTCAATATTATGAAAGCATATTTTGCTATATTTTCTTAGTAAAAGGCATTTTCGAAGCTATAAAGTCATTTTTTACTATAGGTTTCTTAGTAAAAGCTATATCTAAAGCTTTGGAAATGACTTTATTATTGATTTGGATCAAATTAAATATTTGAATACTTGATTTAAATTTGATCAAATTGAACCAAATATTAATTTAGATTTGATCAAATAAATTATTTTTTAATTTGAATCAAATCAATATAAATTTGAATTTATATTTAATTTGATTTTCAAATCAAATATTCAAATCAAATTGAATTGTGAAATCTTAAATAAGATATATTTAATATATTTGATAGGATTTCACAATTCAATTTGATATTTTGAATATTTGATTTGATTTGAATCAATAGTAAACTATCTCCAAAACTTCAAAGATAGTATTTACCAAGAAAACTATAGTAAAAATATCTCCAAAGCTTTAAAATGTTTTTTTACTAAGAAAATAATAGTAAAATATATCTTTACAGTTTTAAAAATGCCTTTTTTACTAAGAAAACATAGTAAAAAATACCTTTACGATTTTGAAGAAATTATTTTACTTAGAAATATGATAAAAATACCTTCACAGCTTTAAAGATATTATTTTACTAGTAAAAAATTTTTCTGCAGTTTTAGAGATATTATTTTACTAAGAATCTATAATAAAAATGTCTTCACAACTTCAGAAACATTTTTTATTAATAAAATATTTTCAAAGTTATAATAATAATTATTATTAAGTTTTTTTAGTAAAATCAAACTAAAATAGCGATAGTAGTTATTACTTGGTTTTTAGTAAATCTAAAGCTGCAGAATTATTTTACTAAGTTTTCTTAGTAAACTGAAATTTCTTAGTAAAACTGAAGCTGTGGAGTTATTTTATTGTTTTTCTTAGTAAAAATTTACCTGTTACTAAACTTATTTTATAAAAATTGTTTTTGAAATTTTTAGTATATATTACTAATGGTTCTCTTAATTAAAATAAAAGTTATTCTAAAGTTTTAATATATCATTATAAAATCAAAAAAATTTTTATATTTGATTTGATTTAATCAAATATTTGATTTGATAAATATTTGATTTAATTTGATTTGATTCAATTAAATTCAAATGAATTTAATTTGATTCAATTTTCAAATAGAATTCAATTTAATTCAATTCTATTTGAAAAAATCAAATCAAATTTAAATTGTTTCAATATTTGATTCAATTCAATTTTAAGGAACCCTAATATTTGATTTAAAATTTGCTATATCAAGGGTTCGATATATCAAGATTTGACTGTATTTATCATTCTAAATAAAATAATTATTTCTATTATTTTTTAGAAATAATTTTTATTGTTTCTTTAAATGATTTTCTATTTAGATGACTTTTGTATTATCTGATTAGACCAATCAGAATTTAATATTTAGCTCAACTTCAGTTGATCATAATTTAGATAGGTTGATTTAGGTTTAATTTTTAGCTAATTGATGATTATGTTTAATTGATAAATGATTGATAGATGATTTACTACATGTCTGAATTTTTGATTTTGACTAGTAAATCTTTATACTTTTTTCTCAAATTTCTTTTTCTTTTGGTTTTTATTTTTTTGATTTATTATTATTTAATAAAATGTAGATTTATTATAAGTTATAAGTATTCTTACTTTTGTATTTATGATAAATATATAATAGTTTCATATTTTTTACCTTTAAATATTGGATAATAAAGTTTTCATAAAAGATAAAAATTGCTTTCTATATTTTATTATATTAATTCTTTTATGATTATCAATATAAACTCCTTTTTTTTGTAAATATTATATTTCCAACACAAATTTTTTAACCATCTTTTTGCTGTTAATTTACTTATTTATTTATTATTGTTACTTTTTCCAATTTAACATTATTTATATAATTTGAAGTAAATTGGTTTGATCATAAATAAATATAAGTTTGAATTGCAATATCTTTATGAAGATATAAACTTTTTATTTTAAGATATTAATCTTTTATAAAACATAAAGAGATTTATTTTATTATCTTTGTTTAGCTTATTCTTTATTATAATGCATTTTATATTTTACTACCTATTCTTATCTAATTGCAACTAATTGACTTGTTTTACCAGCCTCTTTCACCTAATAAATATCAAAAAAAACATTGATAATGCTAATATTTTAATTTTTCTACATATGCTAAATCATTTACTATTAATTTTTGATCGATATTTTTGATATTATCATTAATTATTTCAGGTGAAGTATTTATAATTTTTTTGTTATTAATAAAATGTTAAGTTCATTTTCACTTTCTTCAGAAACTTTAACTCTTTTTCAGTGATTTTTTTTAAAAAAATCAGTTATTTTACTTGATTTTACTGCTATATTATCAAAACGTTCTGTATATTGGCAGATGATTATTTGATAATAAAGCATTTTTTTGTGTTTCAATCATTTCATTATATTTATTTTGCCACCATTCTGAAAAAAATTCATCCTTTCAAGAAATATTAGAATCTGAACTACTCAAGTTAAGTTATTATCAGAATTCGACTTATCACTAAAATTAACAATTTCATTAGCAGCTTTTTTTGCTAATAATGTTAAATAGACTTTTCTTTTATTATTTCTTCCCATCATTAAAAAAAATTTGGACTGAACAAAGTTTGGATCAGATCATTAGATTTTATATCAAATGTAGTTTATTAATCGTTATTATGTAAGTCACGTGAGCTTTTAGTAATGAAAATATGGTCATTTATGCGAAATATGTGAGATTATATTATAGAATAAGTAAATTATAAAAATAAAAAATTCAAGATTAATATACGGCCTTTATATATATAAAAATATAAATTTTACTAAGTCAATATTTAATTTTGACAGCAACTTATATGAGGCTAAACTCGGAGTTAGAATCTCTCCTGTGTGTCAACAAGTCTTGTAACTAAATGTGGTGTTCCGCAATTCATAAATTGCAAATGAGCACAGAAAAATACCTCAATATAAATATTTGGATTACATTACAGTAAGCAAACAATTTAAACTTTTTCACAAGTATTTATTATTATTAAAATATATAAATAAAATAAATACTGTAAAATTTGGATGGATTTAACATTAGCCGTTTTACCGAAGATTTTATCTCCGTTAAGGTTAGCCTAGTAAATGATTTCTTTTTTTTTTTTTGTACTCAGAAACACTGTAGATTTTTGCCAAATTATATAAAAGTAAACTGTAATGAAGTAATGTGGCTAATTCGATGATCAAAATTAATCTATAGATCGGAAAAAGAATTTTTTTTTTCTTTTGTTTATATAAAATTTAATGGAACCCCAAATGTGTCAAGGATTTTTACCTTAAACGTATAAATCAATCTGATAAATAATAAACAAACCTCATATGAGCTTTACATGAGTCGTGAGAATTTCACCTAAACCAAAAAAGTGTAAAAAAAAAATCTGATAAATACTACGTATCACAATACAATTCGTCATTCTATTCATCTGATTAAAAACCTGAATATGTCAACATCGGATCTGATAAGCCTTTTTTATTCCTGGTAAAATAATTTATTATACAGTACAATAAGATACAAAAAAGTACTTGACGAACTTTGAGCGAAATTTATCCCTAAATTTTATCCCTAAATTTTATTTTATATATAATCGTTACGAACCCTTCTTTCTGATTTTTTTTTTTTAAAAAAAAAGAAAAACTCGGCCAAAAATTAATAAATAATAAAAAAAGATAATATATATATTCATTTTTCCCTATAGAATAATATTGACTTTAATCCATTTTATAAAGACAAATATGAATAATAATAATCATGAATCATTAACAGATATCGAAGATGTGACGATAGAATCATGTGAAGGTTGTTCGGTACCTTGTTCAACGCATCAAGTTTATCCTTCTTACCTTAAAATTAACCAAGAATTACCACTTCAAGGAACAGTAAAACCTTTTTCGAAGCACGTACTTATATCTACGGGAAAAATCGATTGGCAAGCTCACATTGAAGATGAACATGAAAGTCTTGCATCTCATTTGGCAAAAGTTATAAACGGTGGAGATGATGGAGTCAAAAAAGAAAAAAAGGAAAAGAAAAAAGAGAAGAAAAATAAAACTAGAGTTACTAATGGAAGTGATCAAAAAAAAAATGAAACCATTGACAAAGGTTCAAAGAAACCAAAAATCCTTATCACAAATAGTAACAGGAAAAATGGAGATTACGATCCTTTAATCTCCAATGGAGATGATGTTTTACTTTTTCCAGATAATATTATTATTCGACATGTTTCACCAAAGCATGCAGCGGAATTTCGTAATCAATTTTTATGTAATAAATTCGGTCGTGGGGATGATGATTTAATTCAAAAGAATCCGTCACCTACGCTCCCGGTGACTTTTACGGTGGAAAAGATGCTATATAAGAGTGTGATCTTGATTTGTTCACATAAACGTCGAGATAAAAGATGTGGCGTTACAGCGCCTTTATTGAAAGATGAATTTGATAAAGTGTTAAAGAATAAAGGTCTGGATGTTGATAGTCGTGTTGATAATAAGGATGGTATAGCAGTTTACATGACAAGTCATATAGGAGGTAAATATACATTGTATTTTTTATTAATATTTGATTTAAATAATTAATTTCAAAACTTGCTATCACCTTTCTTAGGGCATAAATTTGCTGGGAATGTGATAGTTTATTGCGAAGGGAAAGGAATATGGTATGGACGGGTAACCCCTTGTCATGTAAATTTAATAATTGAAAAAACTGTGATCGAAGGAAGAATTATCAGAGATTTGTATCGTGGTGGTTTCGTTCAAGGTTGAAGGATTTTAACTTACCTTTCTTCCTTAAAATAAAACAAAAATATATATATATATATATAAATATAGACGGCATATATTTCGTTGTAGCTGCCTTAACCTGTTTTTTTTATATAATAAACACGAAACACATCTATTCTTAAACAAAATTAATCATGTAATTTGCATCATTATAACAAACATTCAATAAAGGTAAAAGAAAGATTTTGTGCGGAACGGCGTCATAAAAACCCTTGTTTCTTTATTGCATAACAATTTACATTTATCTTATCTGTAACTTAATTTGCTGGTTGCTGGATATAAAAAATATGTAAAATAAAAAATATATATAAAAGGTAAAATAGAAAAATATAGAGAATATAGAGAAAATGATAATGATAATAATAATCATCTTTTTGATTATTTCATATGGATAAGTATGTGTTTTCGATCTTATATTTAGAAGTGGATTTCCTTTAAAAAAAAAATTTATGAGTACTCAATAAATTGTTGGTCGAAGTAAAAGGAGTTGAAATTATGGTAGCAGACATGTCATTCTGTAAGCCATGGAATTAAAGAGCACATGGGAAGAAGTTAGAAAAGCTACTCCAGTGCATAATAAAAGACGCGTGTTAAACGGGTAAAAAAAAAAATTTTTACCCCGTCAAATCGAATTTCAGGATTGACACGAACTTAGTTAAAGGATTAACCTCGTTACTGATGCCATGACGATGACATTTAAAGCGAGAAAACGTGTCTCCCTCTAAAATTTAAAAAGTTAACAACAAATACGCTCAAATTTTTTCAATACATTCTTTGACATACCTCACGGGTTTAAACAATGCACTTATCCTGATCAAGATTAGTCACTCCTCAAAAGCTGCAAACGTTCTCTATTTACAAAGAGGAAAGTAGGTAAAATTTACGATAAATAAAATTTCTTTGACGAGTAATCTACAAAGAGCATTATTTTGATAGGTGGAAAAAAGGATAAGTGCGAAAAAAAAAAGAGTGGGAGAGAGGGTATATTTGGCGAGAGGCCCGCAGTGAATTCAAATCGTTTCAAGCACCCTTTTTATAGGATCGGATGGTATAAACTTGCGTAATCTAGTCATTAAAGCTTCCATAATGACATAAAGTTATCAGATTTACTTTTGATTGGATCGGAAGGAAAAGTAAAACTATGCATAAACTCTTCTGAAAAACTTTTTCTTTTACCTAAATCGGTATGTATTTTTCTATCAAACTGGTTCCCGAATGTAATAATCTGATAATCTGATAAAATTCTTACAAATAAAGGGGTGATTTTCATGCAAAACAATTCTTATCAGATTCGATAAAACTATAAAATTATTTATCAGATTTTTTTTTTTTCTAAATTATGTAAATTCCGGAATTCTATAAAAGTCCCTATTTTGTCATTATCAAAGCGTAATTACCTTGAAGTACAAGGAAAAATACGGGTGAAATAATATTTAGTGCAATATATAAATTAAACAATGTTTCTGCCGCTAACTATTATGTTTAATTGGTTAACGTTGCACATAAAAAAAAATCAATATTTACTTTATTAATAGTAAAAAAAAAATAAAAATATTCTCGATTAATTCATTCATTTCCGATGTCGCCACAGTTTCACACCGAGCAATTAATAGTTATCATTAGAAAGGAATTGATATTTTTAACTTTTTTTTTCTGATAAATAAGAGATATAAAAACTCCGCGAAAATGCATTAATCCGAGCCAACCTTAACGTATAATAAATAATTCACTTAAAATGATAGTCGTGTCTTTTTATAAAGCCTTTTTTCACCTTTATTGTATTATTATTTTGACAGCGTTAGTTTCGCCCACACCACTTTGGAATCAAAATCTCATTGAATCTCGCGCATCGGAGCCAAAAACAAATACTTTTAATCTCGTTTTAAAAAAGGTTAACCTCGCTCCAGATGGATTTACTCGTATTATGTCAACAATTAATGGGCAATATCCTGGACCGACCATAGAAGTCAATAAAGGAGACCGTATTGTAATGAACATTCGTAATGAGTTAGAGGATCCAACATGTAAAGTTGTCTATAATAATTTTTGCGTAGAATATTTGTCTGATTAATTCGTTTGTATCCAAAATAAATAAAAAAAAATTTCTAATTTAGCAATTCATGCTCACGGAATTTTTCAAAAAGGGACTCCATGGTAAATAATTTTAAGTTTTGTGTAACAATAAAGATCATCGACTAATAGACCGACTAATCTCGTAGGTTCGATGGGGTACCAGGGCAGGTGAGTTGATTTTCTACTTCGTTTATCAAAAACGTTCACCTTCCTTGATAACACGTGATTTCTTTTAGACCCAATGCGAGATACCAAGCGATTATGAATTTACTTATAATTTCACGGTTCCCGACCAAGTTGGCACTTATTGGTAGTAAGTATATTTCAAGTTTTTTTTAAGGGTCAATGCAAAAGCATTTGAATACTCACTATGATAATGTTCCTTTTAGCCATTCGCATGACTTAATGCAATATGTTGATGGAATTGTTGGCGCATTAAGTTAGTTTATAATTAATATTTTTTTTTTTTCGTTCCTTTATTTCTCTTTCTGATGATATTCAAATGATTTATTTATCTGTTTCATTTCAGTTATTCACGATCCTGATGATCCGTATAAAGCAGAGTACGACGAGGAAATTCTTGTCATGTTGACTGATTATCATCACACAGAGGCTCAAATTTTGTTGAATTCTTTCTTGACCCCTGAACGTGATGGTGAAGAGGTATGTTGTTTTCTACTACTAAAGATAAGATTAACGTCAAAGTTTTTGACAATATTAATTCATTTTTCTTTTATAGCCAGGTAGGGTTTAGATAACTCGTGAGGTTAATGAAATGTATGAAATAAATTAAAATCCATTGTGATTACAGTTCCAGATAATGGATTGATAAACGGAAAAAATAATTACGATTGCTCAAAAGCTCCACCAGGTTCTACATGCGTAGATAATGCTGGTCTCGCTAAGTTTGAATTCGTTTCTAATAAAAGATATCGTCTTCGCATCATCAATACCAGGTAACTTACGAAATAGAAATAGGATGTAATTAATAATCGGTTGTGTATTTACTTAATTTTTTTTTTTTTTACTGTTCATTAGCGCATTTTCAGCATTCTTCTTTTCAATTGATAAACATGTGATGGAGGTTATCGAAGTAGAAGGGACCTACACCAAACGAAATAAAATTCATCGTCTTCCTATCAATGTTGGCCAAAGATATTCTGTTATCGTTACTGCGGATCAATCTGTTGACAATTATATCATGCGTTCTGAATTTCAAAAGAAGTGTATGCCAGATGGAGCAATTTCCCTTCCTGTTGTAACAGCAATAGTTCATTATGATGGTGCACCCGAGGATTCTGTTCCAAAGGATATACCGTGGACAGATTTCTTGGAAGAATGTATTGATCTAATTCCAGAAACTTTACAACCATTATATGAAGAAAAGGTTCCTGAAGCAACAAGAGAAATTATACATGAAATCGCATTTCATAAAGATTCATTAGGAATCGATAAAGCTTTTATTAATGGATCTACTTATGTTCCTAATCTAATTTCTTCTACTTTGACTAAAGTCTTTGAAGGAACAACAGCTAACCTTCCTGCTTCCGAAAATGCTTTTACTTTTAACACTTTTGGAGAAGTCGTTGACATTTATTTCATCAGTAAGAATTAAAATTCATTTATTTATTTTTTAAGAAAAATTTTATAACAAATTTTAATTTAGATACTGACGAAGGTGAACACCCGATCCACATGGTAAGTGCTTTTATGACAGCATAACGATCTAGTATGATTATCTAATTATATTTTTTTTACATCGAAACTCAAGCACGGACATCAATTTTGGTTACTTGGAATTGGGAATGGAACTGTAGTTGATAAGACTGCATTAAATACAGTTAATCCAATCAAACGAGATACCTCAACAATACCTATCAGCGGGTAATTATCTCATCAGAAATATTTCGCGTTTCCCTATAAAGGAAAATCTCTCTGACAATTGAATTTTTTTTTTTTTTTTGATAGATGGTCTGCTTTAAGATTTGTTGTGGATAACCCTGGAGTGTGGGGTCATCATTGTCATATGGTATTTAACCTTTTTTTTCTTTTTTTTTTTTCTTTTAAAATATATTTACTAACTTTCGCTTTCTATCTCTTTAAAATTTCCGAAAAAATTTTATAGGAGGTAAAAAAAAATATCAAATGATTAAAATTTTATTTCAAGACTTTTAAAGCAAATTACTGAATTTTAATTTATTAAATTATTAGTGGCATATGCAAGTAGGTCTTGTAATGCAATTGATTGAGCTACCGGATGAAATTAATAAACTGTCCCCACCTGAAGAATGGGCAGAATTATGTCAATTGAAAAGATATTAAAAAAATATGCAAGATGTTACTAAAATTATTGTATTTGATGTAACAAAAAATCTACACAATTCATATAAATAAAAAATAAAATCATTGTACTTTACAAAATTTTTTTTGCTTAGTTGATACCTTATTATTGAAATTTGCTAGTTTTTTTTTTTTTTACATTATTCAGTCATACATGTCTCATAATGTTCAGGTATTCTCTTTGATTTATGCTTTGAACTGGTTAAAGAGCCTCTATATAGATTAGGATTATGATTTTTTCGCGGTGAAGTCAATTTTTAAATTCTTGTTATTTATAATTTGCTTTCGATAAATGATTGTATAAAAAAATCCAATTAATTGATGGTCTAAAAACCAGACTGGTTTACATCCACGTTTACGTTCACGTTGAACAGATAAATTTGAAATAAAAAATTTTTTTGTTTAAATAATTAATTACAATTATTCATGAACTCTGTCATGACAATTGATGTGATTACTAATATAAAAATGGTCAAAGTATACAACATAGTTACACTTATTTTACTTAGAATATTTTCACAGAATGTATTTGCTAACAGGGAGTTGAATTACGTCTAAACTATAGAGATAAATGTTATTGTTTTATAAGATTAGTAGCAATTCTGCTATTTATTAAGGCAAAGATATGGGATATTTATATAAAATACATCAATAGAAAATAGATATTTAATAAAGTAAAAAAAATAAGAAATAAAATAAAATAAATATAAATAAGAAAAATAATAAATTATAGAAGCATAAGAAACTATGGATCTATAAAAAATTATATGGTGGTTATCATCTATAATCAACAAAATTATCAAATAGCTTAAAATTTATAAATGAAAAATAAAGTAATAAAATATGATTAATATGGTTGTTGTAGAGTATGGTTAACCAAATGTATATAGTATATCATATAAAATGATTTTAAGTATATTTTTATATTTGATTCGATCAAATTCAAATCAAAGAAAGATTTATTTGATCAAATCTAAATTAATGTTTAATTCGATTTGATCAAATTCAAATCAAGTATTCAAATATTTAATTTGATTCGAATCATTAGTAAAGCCATTTTCAAAGCTTTAAAAATGGCTTTTACTAAGAAAACCATAGTAAAAAGCACCTTCACAGCTTCAGAATGCCTTTTTACTATGTTTTTAGTAAAAAATGCCTCCGCAGCTTCAGAGACATTATTTTACTAAGAAAACATAGTAAAAAATGCTTCTGCAATTTCAGAGACATTTTTTATTAAGAAGCCTAGTAAAAAAAGCATCTGCAGCTTTGAAAATATTATTTTACTAATAAAATGGTTATAAAGCTAAGATAATGATTATTATTAAGTTTTTTTTAGTAAAACCAAAGCTGTAATAGCAGTTATTACTAAGTTTTCTTAGTAAAACTGAGACTATAAAGTTATTTTACTAAGTTTAAAAGTAAAAATTCACCTATTACTAAACTTATTTTGTAAAAGTTATCTTTGAAATTTTTTAGTATAATTACTAATAATTTTCTTAATTAAAACTTTAGAATAACTTTATTTTAATATATCATTGTAAAAATTAAAAAAATTTATATTTAATTTAATTTGATTTAATTTAATTTGATTTAATTTGATTTGATTCGATCAAATTCAAATTGATTCAAATTAATTCGATCAAATATTTGAGTTTAATTTGATTCAATTTGATTCAATTTGAAAAAATCAAATCAAATTCAAATTGCTTAAATATTTGATTCAATTTAATTTTGAGGAATCCTACATACATGACTATGAGTAGGAACCCTATACAAAACTAATTAGATATTCATTCGTTTGATATTAATTCTATTAAGATCAATAAAAATATCTCAAATAAATATAAAAAATTAAACTTAATATTGTAATAAACTAAAAAGTTATCTTATAGATCACATGATTTTTATCTTGTCATAAAATCCATCCAATCAGCTAAAATTGGCAGATCCTCAAAATATACCCAATCAACCAAAACTGGTAGATCTGTGAAAAATGCCAAATTTGCCAAATCTGCCAGATTGACTAAATCTGCTATATATGTAATATATGTCAAGTATACAATAAAAGACCAATTATTACATTTCTTATTTTTATTTATATTTTATTATTATTATTTTATTTCTTATAAATAGAGTAGCTTTAGAACTTCAATAATATGGGACTTGGGAGAGGAACTTTTAAGTAGGAAATTACTTTTAGTACTATCGTCAACAAGATAAATACTAAATACATTTGTATGCTAACAAATACACTTATAATAATTATTCTATTAAATAAAACTCTATCGTTTACCTATAATCACCTTTGTCTCTAAAAATACATTTGATCGATAAACCTTCATAACTCTTCATAAATCGCATTATAAAGTCTTAAAGCTAAATCCTTTGTTAATCTTGCGTCAATACTAATTTTCAGTCATTAGTATCGTAAGATAACAATATCTCAAACTGATTTAAAAACATTTCTTTAATAAAAAATTTAAATATAATAAGCTTGTATCATATATCACATATCACAAGCTCCTATAGCTAGGGTTCCTCAAAATCAAATTGAATCAAATATTTGTCAAATCAAATCAAATCAAATCAAATCAAATATAAAAAAATTTTTAATTTTTACAATGATATATTAAAATAAAGTTATTCTAAAGTTTTGATTAAAAAAATTATTAGTAATTACATTAAAAAATTTCAAAGATAGCTTTTACAAAGTAAGTTTAGTAACAGGAAAAATTTTACTATAAAATAATCTGCAGTTTCAGTTTTACTAAGAAAACTTAGTAATAATTACTATCGCAACTTTAATTTACTAAGAAACTTAGTAATAACTACCATCGTGGCTATATACTCAGATAGTATGAAGATAACTTTAGAATTATTATATAAAATAATGGAAGAAGCCTCTATCTCAAAAGTATATTAAATCTGTCCTAAAACCTTTAACATATATATTTCTTAACCATATGGGAACGTTTCCAGTAAAATCAAGTTATGAGATATAGTAAATCATATGATCCATACCTTGATTTTGCTAGAAACACACCCATATAGTAAGACAAATATATCATATTCTTGGTGACATTCTTAGTGATAAAAAACCCCATTCTGCTAATTCCTTACTAGTTTTATGATACTACCATGATATTACCATGATACTACCATGATACTGGCATAACGCTGAATTAGATGCTCAAATCACATTCTTTAAAATTAGCCAAAATTATAATATAGAGCTGGTCAAAATTAACCATAATTTATTGAGTTATCCAACACAATTCTTTTTATCACAATTGGTATTTTAATAAGCAATCAAACAGGTATAAAAAGATAATCACCCAAAGATAGAATCTGATATTCAAATAGATACAAAGAGTTAATAATCTTAGCATAGAACCAGACACTTAAACAGATATGAAAGATTAATATTAACAATATAAAATTTGACAAGTAAACAGATTGGAAACAAAAGAAATTAGGTATATTTAGATCATATAGTGGTAGTTAGATTATATAATGGATAGTAATTAAATTATATAGTGGTAAAAAACATAAATAATAAGAAAGGTTTTAAAGGGATAGTTAGATTTTAAAATAGATATCTGATATAAAACTATATAGATTATATGGTGATATCTAGATTATATTATTTAGATTATATAGTAAAAGTTAGATTATATCTTTTAGATTATATAGTAGTATTTAGAATATAGAATAATACTCAGATTATATAGTATTATTTGGATTATATAGAGGTTTGCTAGAAAAATGAGACTCTGAACATTTTTTATTAAAATTTTAATTTTTATTGCATATTTTTGATAATGTTAGATTAAAATGCAATAAAAATTAAAATTTTAATAAAAAATACTGCAAGTTTCATTTTTTAGCAAACCTCCCATATGGTGATATTTAGATTATATAATAATAATGTAATCTAAAGTAAGTGGGATAGATATCATCATTGTCCGAAGCGTAGCGTAGAATATTTTCAGTTAGAGCTGAAACTATGCATGTGGTGTCTGTCACGATACGTGATCTGCCAATCATATTTCTGTCAATCATTTTGTATAACACTTAAATTTTTTCAGTTTTTCGAACATTATTTAACTATTTAAAAAAGATCAATGTGACGCAATTATAGAATACGATTAAATTATTCTAATAAAGTTAGTAATACAGACATTTTTTTAATTAATTGTATTTTTAACTTTATAAATATATAGTATTAAAGATATTTATATGTTGATTAATGCTTTGAATGTTCCTAATAGTTCCCGTTACCTAGTATAATATAATTATATTATATAGTGATATCTTACTAAAAAAAATCATTTTAAAGATTTTAAAATTTTTAAGCTACATATAAAAATAAGTTTTTAAATAGCATTATTAATACAAATATAAATTTTTATAATAATTTTTTTGAAATTTAATTTTAAAATTATATATTAAACTATATATTTTATATTATAATAATAATAATATTACTAAAATTAATATTTAACATTTTATAAAATAATTAATACTTTTTTTTTAATTTTACAAGTAAATTTGCCTGCTAGACAGTTTAAGAATCTAATATATCATCATATAATCAATATATAATATATAATAATTATTAGTACTAATATAAAATTTTATACATATATTTTCTATACTAAAAGTTATTTAATACATTGTTATTTAAATGAAAATAAAACACAGCAAATTATATAACTAGAAATATGATACAAAAACATAATTAAATATTCATCATCAAAAAAATCACAACAAGTGATCTTATAATGGAAATGTAATCATAAATTAAAATATTCAATCAATAAAATTAGTATTATGTGATATAATATGCTATATCTAAATATTAGGAGTAAATGTAATAATTATGAAAAGATATTAAATCATAGTTAAAAAATTAGTAATTCTTGCATAATTATGATATAGTAATTAAGCAATAAAATATGTAATAATAATTATGCAATTAA